AGAGAGTGGTTGGAATCTGCTGCGATTTTACTGAATTCATGTTTTCATTATATAGTATTCAAAGAACAAATCAGAAGGTCATGTATCATTGGTTGGCACAGTATGGAAGCTTCTTTTAGTCACATCAGTGATATTTAGGAAAAGTATATTATCAGGAACAGGTGTTAGACATAAAGCATCCTTAGAAGAGGAAATCTTGTCCTTGGGAATGTAAACCTCAGGCAAGTGGTTTCATCTTATGAATAGAAAGTTTCTGTCTCATTATCGCTATCATGGCCCTTCCTCTTCCTAACCCTTTATTTCATCTAGTGACCAAATATACCTAATCAGTTCTCTGCACCTGTTGAACTATACTTTTTAGTACCTTCTTATGCAATAGACACTATGGGGGTTGGGATCTAGCAAGCCTATCCATAAAGTTGAAAGTATAATATAACAGTCTTTGTCCATCAACATTAACCCATCTATTCCCTTGCTCATCATACACCCTGTGTATAACAAAGGTTCTGCTGTAGTCTTATATATTCCCATACTGTGCTTCCCTATCCCAGAACTGTTCCTGAAGAGATAATCCTTGTCTTGTATATATAGACTATCATTATTATAAAAGAGATTGTGCAAAGCCCATATCCCGCATAGCCAGCTACTCGAGAAACCCGTCTATGCCTCAAGGGTGGCCAATACTGGGCCATCTGCTATTGACCTCCAGGAAGCCTAGTCCCATAGGACACGTAGCTCCCTTCCAGCATAATGACATGTGTCATGTCACACAGATGACACTGGAGTTGGTGTGGTACCTGACTGTTTATTTAAATTAAGATATAACTATATAACCTCCCCCTTTCTCTTTCCTCCCTCCAATCTCTCCCATGTCACTACAATTCTCAAATTGATATCCGCTTCTTCTTCTTTGGTTATTATTGTTTTTTTCCTTTTTATTTAATTTTTTAAATTTTACATACTAGCCCCAGTTCCACCTCCCTCCCCTTCTTCTGCCCCCCACTTCCCTCCGTCCACTCCTCTGAGGAGGTAAGGCCTCCCTTGGGTAGTCAACAACAATGTCTGGTATACCAAGTTGAGGCCTGACCAAGCCTCTCACCCTTCTATCAAAGCTGAGCAAGGTATCTCACCATAGAAAAAGGACTCCAAAAAGCCAGTTCATGCATCCAGAATATGTCCTGATCCCACTCACTACCACCCCCAAACAGATCAAGCCACATAACTGTCCCCCACATTCAGAGTGTCATCCAATGAAAAGATTCTAAGCTGTCAGTCCAGAGTCCATGAAGCTCCACGAGCTCGGTTCAGCTGTCTCTGTGCTTTTCCCAATCATAATCTTGACCTCCCTTGCTCAGATGATCCCTCTTCCTTCTCTTCAGCCAAGCTCCCAGAGCTCAGCCCAGTGCTTTGCTGTGGATCACTGCATCTGCTTCCATCAGTTACTGCAAGTAGGTTCTATGATGACAATTAGGGTAGACACTAATCTGATTATGTGGGAAGGCCAGTTTAGGCACCATTTCCATTATTGCTAGGAGACTTAGCTGGGGTCATCCTTGTGGATTCCTGAGAATTTCCCTAGCACCTGATTTCTCCCTAACCCCATAATGGCTCCCTCTAGTGAGATATCTTTTTCATTGTCCCCCTCTCTGTCCCTCCCCCAGTGTGGCCATCTTGAGCCCTCATGTTCCCATTCCCCATCTCCTTCCCTTCTACTCCCCTTCCCAGTTGACCCAGGAGATCTTAACCGTTTCCCTTTCTTGGGGCTCGCCATAGTTATTATTGTCAGACATCTAGTATATATGTACAAATACATAAATAAAACTTGCTGAGGCTGTTTTTGGTTTTTTGTAGGTATATGGTTTTAGGGATGGCTGCTTTGCATTTGGCTAACTAATTAGGGGGCTCATCACTGGAAGAGTTTTAATTGTCCTCTCAGGAGTCCCCAATGGTCTCTAGGTTTTTGTCTAGGTCCTAGACTATAGAAGTATGCCTCTTGGGCTGACAATACTCCCCAGAAGAACCATATGCTAAGAGAAACTCCAGACATGGGGAACCTCTTTTCAAGTGATTGATCAGGGTAGATCAGGTGGCTTCCAGAATGATATAGGCTATTGCTGTTGTCACTGATTGCCTCTTAGAGATTGCTGAAGACACTACACAAGGGTCTTGGGTGATTTGAGCTGGATCTAATGGGAAAGCCATCTTTCTGTGGTCTCGTTTTGATGGTATCAGAAAGCACTACACTAGCTTCTAAGGGAGGGAAACAATTAATAGTCTTGCCCAGCTGTGACACCCATGATCTACAACAGTGACCATCATGGCAAGATCTGCCTAGCAATACAATAAGTGGCACTCACGTGCTGCTGGTAACTAGCAGCTGTCTTCTTGGATTAAGGTGCAGTCTGCAGAAGGAGTATCAGGCCTGTGCCAGAAACCTGGCTGTTGGGAGCACAACACAAAGGTTCTTGAGCCCACAGATCTCCAGGGAAACCAGGAACGTTAAACTCACAGGATTGTCAGTCCAAAGGGAAAGATGAAAAACCTGGTCTTCCTTCCAGGAAGCTGAGAATTGGAAATGATTGACAGCCTGGTGATCTGGGTTATCTGCTGGGCCAGACCATACCAAGCTCTTACAACCAAGACCGGAGGTGGCTAGTTCTAAATGACCCTAATAACCAGAGACTCCCCTAAGCTCCCACCACCAGGACCAGAGGTGGCTAACAGCCCAAATGACCTCTATGCTATCTGTATGACCGAGACGAGGAAAGACTGTCCCTTAAGCTAGTACGGGTGGCCTATCTCTAGAACCCATCTTCATGGAAGGAATGACATGTGGTAGTTTGAATGTAATTGGTCCCCATAACCTCATAAGGAGTGGGCACTATTAGGAGGGGTGGCTTTGTGGGAGTGGGCGTGGCCCTGTTGGAAGAAGTATGTCACTGTGGGAGTGGGCTGTGAGGTTTCCTATGCTTAGAGTACCACCCAATGGAAACACTCAACTTCCTGTTTCCTGCAAAGATGTAGCCAGTACGTTGTCTTCCTCCATACGATGTCTGCCTGCACAAGCTGTCATGCTCCCTGCCACACTCCCCGCCATGCTGATAATAGACTGAATCTCTGAAATTATAATTGAGCCACCCCAGTTAAATGTTTTCCTTATAAGAGTAGCCATAGTCATGGAGTCTCTTCACAGCAACAGAAACCCAATCTTAGAAACGGGAGTTGAGTTTCAGTGTAATTGTGCCTCTTTGTACACTGGGGATTGTATTACACCAGGACACTTATTTTTTGAAATTGTACTGGGCTTAAGTACATTGGGAATGAACTGCCTGTCATTAGACTCCCCGAAGCTTGATCCAGGTTGAAGTCAATCTGCACTGGGCTTTCATTCTTATCTCTTCTCGTGGTTCCTTCCTTGTATGACCCCTGCAGGGAGCCACTCACCTAGCTAAGTTCCTGGGGCTAGTGAGGTCATAGGTCTTAGTAGATAATCTACTGCCACCATTTTGCCAGGCCAGCATAATTTCTTAACTATACTGAAAATTTTTATCCTTATACCTGCAAATAAGTGTAGCTCTCCCCCATAAACAAAGAATCCTCCCTTTACAGTCAACAGAGTCCATCACAGGACAACACAACGGGGCACAATGCAGAGATCAGTGGATCAAGGGACCTCCATCCCAGTGGGTACAAAGGCAGCGTGGCTGCTGCATCTGTTGCTTAGGTGTCCTGGCAGAAGCCGAGGAAACGCTGTAAGAGCCAGAATACCAGGAAGTCTGCCTTTCACAAACAAGATCGACTGTCATCAGAAAACATGGTAAGGCTGAAGGGAGAGGGCTTTATCTCTTCACATCATTGTTACTATGCCGGGGTTCTAAATGCTTTCTCATTTGATGCTCCAGCATAAAATGAAAAAAAAAATCAGTTGCTTATGAAATATTCTAGAGACTGGCACTGCCTTCTTGCAGCCAGCTGTTTCTGTTTTCTCTGACTCTCTCCTGCTGTCCAGGAGTGCTGTGTCAGCGTTCCGAAGCCCTAATACCAAATTCGCGTTAAGAAAAGCACCCCGACAGACAGGTCTCTGGATGCCAAACACATCTTAAAGATCGTGTGGGTGTAAACGTGGAAAATGGTTGCTGAACCATTGCGAATAATAACGGTAAGAACACCCCTAAACTGACCAAGGCCTCTGCTTCGCTTCAGTGTGTGGAAGAACATAAACCTTACCGTTTTGTGTAATTCCTGGATCCATTTAAAATCTTGTAGTAGTTTAAATCACTCACATCTACTAAATCTCTCCAATTTCATGTCTATTACTCTTGTGGCTTGACTTCACTTTGAACCAAGGTTTCCAATCCAGAATGGGTGCTGTATTACCTACTAAAATTAATCATTTTCCTTAAAAAGGAGTTTCTCAGCGTGCTCACAGGAGAGACACAATGACCAGCAAGTATGCCAAGCCCAGTAATTCAAAAGTAGTGCCAACAGTTATAAGGTTGACTAGTGGTAATCAAATACTGTCTCTCTTCCCTCAGGTTCAGGACATGTCTACCTGTGCCCGCTACGGTTTCTTAAAAAGTTGCTGAACACTTGTTCTCAAAAGTATGTTACCATGATTTCTCAGAAGGCCACTGCAGGACCTTCTGGACTCGTGCATCTGAAAAAGTCCAGCAGGTCAGGGATAAGGGAGTGTGCCCTCTGCTCCGGGGGATGTGGCACCTGCAGCCGCCATCTCTTCCAGCCCCGGGAGAGCTGGGACCCGGACCTAGCGACGCTCAGCACTCGGGCTTGTAGCGGCAGAGGCCTGCTGGGGCTCCAGGCTGTGCGTGTGACCCGTGGCAGGCGGCTCAGGTGCGGGAGCGCGGAGAGGGGGGACTTCCGGGGAGCGCGCGTGTCGCGGGCGGCCTCGGCGGGGCGGGAGCGCGCAGCGGCAGGAGGGCGGAGCGGCTGAGTGGGGAGGCAGGCGGCCGGCGGCCGGGAGGGTAGTACGGGTCCGGCTGCACGCGCCACCTGCGGGGCTGGCTGGCTTCCTCTTTCTGCGGGGGGAACACAGTTTCCCCGCGGGAGTTCGGGAGCGCGCGGGCTGGCGCGCACACAGGCTGGCATCCACACACGCCAGAGCGCGCGATCATCCCTGCTGCAGCCCGGCCGGGCAGACCGAGCTGCTGCAGTTTCCCTGAGCCCAGAGTCGAGGGGAAAGCAGAACCATTGTGCCTCCGAGAGAGACAGGTGTCAGCCGGCCCCCTTGGGTATCAAGCCCAGCAGACTGCTCCCCCTCATCGGGTAAGCCAGTCTCTCTCCTTGTAACGGGTTCGGGATTAGTGCCTGCAGACCCAAGGGAGAGGGTGGGAAGCTGCGGATGCGCCAGACCCGGCGAGACCTGGAGTTGCGATTTCAGGGGATGTCTGTAGCCTCTGCTGGCGTCGTCTAGCGGGAGCAGTTACTACTCAGGTTACTTATTCTACCAACCTAGAGTTGGAACCCCTCCCCCAAGCCAGTATGCACTATGCTTCCTGGTTACCAAGGAGACTTGCTTAAACATTAGCCTTGGGACATGTATTAGAAGAAATGGTTTCTTAAATTCTATTTATTTTGTTTGTTTTAAAAAATGATAATATATACATTGAGGATATTGGGGCCATTTGGTAGTCGTTAATTTGTATTCAGACGATGATTTCATTCAACTTAAAATAAAAGTGACAATGTACTACTACAAGATATGCGTTTTAAAAGGACCCATCAGATGAGTTTTTCGACGGATTGTGTCTTGCGTTTTAATTCACTCCCATTTTGGCGATCTTAAAAGAAAGCAGACTCCAGTTTAAAACCCGTGTTTCCCTCCATTTCCAGTTCTGTTTTGCATCTCCGTCGTATTAAGTTAACAGTAAGAGCAGATGATTTTATTGTGGCTCTTCTGTTGTAAATTGGCCAGAACAGGAACAGCACTTGCGAATTTTTACGGTAACACTATAGAAGGCATTCACGACGTCCAGCGTTTCTAACCTCTCTGTGTCCTCTGCAGCGTTATTTAAGTGCAGTTTTCCATCACCTCTGCCCATTTGGGAGGTGATGGAAAGCCATCCTCCAACTTAACTGATTCATTCGGAGTTGGAACTCTATATGTTGATGGAGATAGATGTAATTTATTTGTTTGTTTGTTTGTTTGTTTTTTGCCCTGGCATACTGTCCCAGAAGCTCAGATCTCAGAGTTCATGTAAAAAAAAAATTGTTTTCTTCTGAAGTACCGAAGAACCCTTTGCAAAAATGAGGCACACGAAAGACACCAGAAACCTGATCACATCCGAGCCCCTAACACCTGGACTGAATAGGCTTCATTTTTTTTTCTTTTTCCCTTTTCTGCCTCAGATGTTTAATGGGTGAACTTGAATATCAGCAAGGCAGTAATTATACTTTGCACCAATTCTATTTTTCCATTACAAATAGAATGGCTTAGTAAAGCTCCAGTGGCATTCAACAATTCATTTTGCGATCTTTTAATATCTATTTTTCCCACCTATTGAATGTAAATGAGATAAGGGAGACATACAACATTTTTTAATTGAGATAATGAACTCTGTCAAGTGACATAGCAACACCAGGAAGAGGAAGCCAACTAATGACAGATAATTGGCAAAGGGGTTTATGAGAGTCACCGAACACAGGAGATTAACGATGGTGTACACTTGGCATAGTCTAGAAGGCATTTTCCGTCCACTTCTTTCTGGATCCCCACATCCACTATAAAGTCAGACCATTGCTCTCAGTGTATTGCTGGGGAACCCAGGATTCAAACCTCATAGAAGTTCAGAGCCAGCGTGTAGATAAGACCTTATTTGGATCCAAACTTTTTCCATTAATTTTTTGGGGGGAGTCTGCCTGTTATGATTAAGGGGAGGATAAGGCCAGGTGGGAATAATGTGCCAGATTTTCAAGGAAAGCAGAAGTCTTTGGAACTTTTTTTTTAAGTGAAGGTATCTTTAATTAAAAAAGAAATCTGCGAGGACCACATTAAAAATGTATCTGGGCCATCCGTGTCCTGGTGGTTCACAGTCCTTGACTAATGAGGTCTTGTCCAGTTCTGTGATGTGAATTAGTACATTTGTTATGAAAGTGACCAGGTGACCAGGCATTTCACGATCTTTGGTAAATGATCTGCATCCATTCTTTCTTGTTCGTTTGTTTGAGAGAGGGTTTCTCTACATAGCCCTGGGCATCCTGGAACTCATTATGTAGAGCAGGCTGGCTTTGAACTCACATACCGGCCTCAGTGCTGAATTCAAAGGTGTGTCTCCGCACTTAGCTCTCTGCATCCACTCTTAAATCAACCGGTCCAGATTTATTTCCGAGGTTTCCTGCATCTCTCTCTCCTGTAATGCCTCAGAGTCGACCAGGAGCATACAGGGCTCTCATGGTGAAAATTTTGAATATGGTAGAACAAAAGCATTTATAGTTTGAAATGTCTTAATTTCCTGGCCTATTCTTTTCTTGATACAGGACTAAGAGGTATTTAAAGACAAAATCAGTTGAATGTGATTGGCCATCTGTATTCACAGGTTCACAATTTCAGATCAGAGTGAGAAAAAAATGATATGTGTTCCGAACCCGTGAGACTTCTTTCCTTGTCAGCATTCACTAGTCGATGTAGTATATAAATTGTATGCCTGGCACTGGCATCGAAGTAGGGGCTAGGGACAGCTAGAGGTATTTAAAATATACAAAGTGTGTGTATAGGCTGTATGCAAATACTACGGCATAAGGGACAAACATCCACAGGCTTTGAATTTGTGGAGGTCTGGAAACCAATTCCCTGTACTTCTCCTTGCAGAAAGGGGTAAAATGAAACTTTCCTTAGGAAAAAAGAGCATTGTGATGTTTTCAAGACGTACTTTCTATTAAGACATTAGGTAATTAGTTAAAGCCCACTCTAGAATACTGCAAGATGCCAAAGGATGCTCTAACAGAGTCCCGAGTCCTCTGGAGATTTCATCTCTTCTCCTTGAGAACTGAAAACACGCACGTATATTCCTCCCAGAGGCCTAGCTTTGAACCCTGTCTGTGCACAGGCTACTCTGCATCAGGCTTCTCCTGGACTTACAGTGGTTTGATGGGGCGGTGTCTTATTTCCGTTTTATAGGCGAAGAATAGGAAAGTAGAACAATGAAGAAAATCTAAACCATTAAGTTGTCTTTGCACGTCCCACTCCTCGCCTTCCCAGTGACCGAGTCGAGGCCATAGAAAGATGCATAGTTATGAAGTTGAGGCAGATAATGTGTTAAATTTACAACAGAGCTGTACTATTCCAGGCTGGGATTTTTTCTCAATAATAGAGGGTCTAGCATGCTCAAATCCCTAGGCTTCATCCACAGCATCAGCCCACCCTCACACAGAATTCCATGAAGCCCAGACATGGAGAAACATTTTGTTTAACAACAAATTCTGCTTGGTTAAGTCCTTTTATAGGAGAGAGATGAATTCTAGAGTTGATGATTGGGTTTGATGCATAAATGCAGACCTTCAACCTGTTAAAAGGTGAGAGGCTCCGCCAGATAGTCAAGTTGGGAAGATGGACTAGAGGACATTGCTAGGAAGTGCGGATAGCGATGAGCTCATTGTAGATGAATGGTTGATAAAGCTAGATGGAGAAATATGTGACTGAGATCAAGTACAACAAGAGGATGAAGCTGGATGGAAGATGAGTTGCTGAAAGAGATCAGGAGAGGCATTGCAGCCTTGGATTGGAGGACAATCCAGAGTGTGCGGTACCCACTTCCGTGAAAGCTCTGAAGGCGAGGGATGAGCCACATATTCACATTGCGCTGTTTGTAGATCTGGCACAGTTAGTGCCTGTCAACTTTTAAGTTCAGTCTGTATTTTACACTGAGTGGCTGGAGCCTAGTTTCTCTTCATCATATTGCTTTCCTGCCCAAGTGCGTATTAGGGCGCAAACCGTATTTGATGGTTTTTTTTTTAAAATTAAAATAAAAAAGGATATAATGTTGGGTGAGTAGGGAAGGGAGGGTCTGGAAGGAGTTGGTCGAAGCAGGGTGAATTTGATGAACACATGATATGGAATTCTCAATGGACTAAGTAAAACTTGAGAAAAAGGTATACAGATATATTTTGTGTGAATTCAATAGAAGTGGACAAATAAGGAAGCTGTTTTATTCCATAAATGGAATAAGACATTCTAGTAAATGAGATAATGAAGTCTAACGTTTCTTCTAAGAGAGCCACAGATTGGGGGTACTTTTGCAAGTAAAAGTGGGGGTGTGGTGGTGGTGGTGGTGGTGTGTGTGTGTGTGTGTGTGTAAGTGTGGGTGCAAGAGTGTATGATGTATACATGGCTAGGTCAGAGGTCTACCTCTATTACTCCCCACCTGCCATGTTTTTTGTGACAGTGTTTGCCACTGAACTTGTAGCTCCCCAGTTCAGAAAGGCTAGCTTCCTGGCAAGCCCCAGAGATCCTCCTATCTCCACCTTCCCAGTGGGATTATATGAGTGTGTTACTGTGACTTTTTTTTTTTTTAATGAGTGTTCAGGATCTGGATTTAGGTCCTTATGCTTGTTGAAAGCAAGCACTGACTGGCCCTCTTCCCAGCTCCAGATAAAGATTTTATCGTGCAGTGTATTTTGGATGAAGGCACATGTCTCCTGTGGACCAAGTGAGGAGCAACGTGAGCTACAGCTTCACCTCTTTGTTCCTGTTTCCGCTAGGATCAGAAGAGCCATTTGACAAGTTATGCTCAAATCTAGAAGGAAATCTGTTGTGACAGATAAGCACCTCTTTTGATCCTGGTTGGATCATCAAATGCAGACCTGGAAGACAAATGACAGTCTGTGGAAGCTGTGCTCGCACTGAAGCGCCGCCTCGATGCCTGGCTCTGGGAGCTGCCTGTCAGAACGGAGGCACACCCCAACAGGATGAGATCGAATAGAAAGGGTCATTTGAAGCTAGAGTCTTGCACAAGGGACAGAAAGTCAATTTAAGTTGGAGGGACTTTAATTTCCATAAAGGACAGGCTAAACCCTTGGGATCACTTTCCCTTCATAGATGCATGTGTCCAGTAAAGGAAAATATTACCAACAAATATCACAAGAAGCCTCTTAGTAAACTGAGCTTTTTGGTGACGGTGGAGATAGATTGAGCTGTCTTTCTCTCTCTCTCCCTCTCTCTGCTCTGATTTCAACATTTCTTCATGTTTGCAGAGTTTATTTTCAGAATTTGCCCCAGAACATCTTACTTCCTCTTGCTGTTCAAATTAACAGATGGAATTAGTTTCGTT